GTGGTCGGGGTGCATGATGGTTTGGGCGGGGGTTGGGTAAGGGCAGAGGCTCACTCACCTCTTTCCTGGGTTGGTCGGCAGAAAGGGCCAAACCTGCATATTTTAAAAGTAATTAATCATAGTTATAGTTTATAGTGGTCATTTGTAACATACTATTCCTTAGAACAAATACATATTTCTGGCAATTAGAAGTGAATATCTGATTTAGAGACTGGTAAATTTGTTAATTAAAATATATCTTTAGATTGAGGATTTTAGCTCAGTGGTAGAGTATGTACCTATTGTGTGAGCACACAATTCAATGTGTAAGTGATACAATTGTGAACTTAACAAAGAATAAAGGCAACTGTGTATGGCTGTGCACACATGTAATTCCAGCATTCAGAAGGTGGAAGCAGGAGAATGCCTGGTCTTACCATGACCTTGTCACCAACAAACTACACACACACACACACACACACACACACACACACACAGAGAGATTGCTAGTTTTAAAACATATAACATTATTATCATTTCTCTAAGACATTCACTAGCTTAACTAGAAGTTCTGATCTTTTTGTTTTTCAACTTTTTAAATTACTACTTTCTATCTATATATAAATAAAAGTTTACTTAGAAACAAAAGAAAATAAAATGTTTTTTTGTTTTTGTTTTTTTTTTAAATAACACCCCTCTCCTTTTTTTTTTCTGTAGGAGTTATGACCGAAGTTCTAGGAGTTTAGATCAAGATTCTCCTTCAAAAAAGAAAAAATTTCAAACTAATTATGCTTCTACCACCCATTTAATGACGGGCAAGAAAGTGCCATCCTCCCTACAGACGAAGCCCAGTGACTTAGAAACAACAGTGTTTTATATTCCTGGAGTAGATGTAAAGGTAAAAACCTGATTGCCTGTAATAAAAGACTAGACTATTAATAGCAGTGTTTATTTTCTACTATATATTTTTCTTTTGCTTATTTTATTTAAAAATGAAACTTTCTGGCTTAGCTAATGTAGCCATAGTGTGAACATAAGAATATCTAAATTGTGGCTAAGCATTTTGCTCATATATCTTTTCCTGGGAAAGCTTGGCATAAAGGAGTGATACTGATATTCATACTAGGCTTGTTTAATCTTACCTAGTGTAATTTCATTAAACAATATTTTTTAATTTCTTTAATTATTGAATCTTAGACTGTTGAGCTCAAATGAACTTAAATGATGGTCTGTATTGAGTTCTTTAATTTAAAAAAATGAAAAAGGCAAGTAGTTTCTAGAACCTTAAAGCTAGCTTACAAAGCTGGAGCTAAGTCTTCAAGCTGCTGAATCAATGTCCTCTGAACTACATCTTCTATACTTTGTTCTATTTTCTCATCTACAAAATTTTTATTTTGAATTTTAATACAGTTGCATTACAATTCTAAGACATTAAAGACTGAATCACCTAATGCCTCCAGAGGATCATCCTTGCCTAGAACACTCTCCAAAGAGTCCAAGTTGTATGGTATGAAAGATAACGCAGCATCTCCTTCTTCTCCTCCTTTACCTTGCACTGTCCAGAGCAAGACTAACACCTTACTTCCTCCCCAACCCCCACCTATTCCTTCAGGTATTTGAGACTGTGCTGTATTTTACCACATTTTTCTTAATTTTTAGTTTCTCAGTTTGTTCTGTTGAGACTATTAAATTCCTTCGTTTAAGAAAGGACATAGACTTGTCAGTAATGACTATATAAAATCCATCTGTGGGAGTACAAAACAACTACTTTAGACTCTTAAATTTTTATTACATTAGAATAATCTTAATAAATAAACTACACTTTTAGAACAATGTATATTTACTAAGGGGTCATTCATATGGTTTACATTTGGGAGCTAGGGATCAAATTTGCACTTATATGAATGCACTGTTATGACAGAATAGGTTCCCAAAGTGCCCTATTGGTGAAAAAAGAAAAGAAAAAAAAAAAAAAAAAAAAAAAAAAAAAAAAAAGAGGAGCTTGGCTTGATAAAGTCAAGGTGCTGGCTAGGTCACCTGAAAACTTGACTAGAGTAGAAAGATTTTCCATCTTGTCCTAGTCTGTGACTTTTTAAAGCTACGCTATTAAACATTGCAGGTTCAGTCAGCTTTTCTTTTGATCATTCCACTCAAAGAATGTTAACTGTAACGTCAGAAAAATACATCCATCCCAGTTGTGATACCCACTTGGGTTGGATGGTACTTTACACATGCATATAGAATTTCTAACACAAGTATTGTTAGAGCTGACAGTCATTATTTAAAAGTTTCATTTGGGAATTTCACATGATACATAAACCCTTTAAAATAGTCAGTAAAGAGTCATGATGATAATGCCTAGTGCCTAACACTTACTTTTCAATTGACAAGGCATAGCTAGATCTATTAAGAATGAGACAAATACTAGTATTCCAATCTATAAATGCAAAAACTTAGAGCTTATATGTAGATTTGGGGCATTTTCCTGTATTTATACAACTAATGTTCAAATTGGGTATTAAAGACAAAGTTAGCTAAGACTTTGTTAGATATTTTTACATTTTATAAAGCAGAAATACTTGATTAGGAAGAATGAGACATGTCATCCTGTGTAGAGAAGTATTGTCAGTGTATATATACTAAGCATGAGAAATCCAAAAGCTATCATTTTCCTCTCCACTTTCCACTAAATCAAATTAGTCAAGTTTTGCTATCTTTGTAAGTAAACAAATGAACTAACACCAGCCAGAAACTTAGCAAAACTATAAAGTTGAAAATTTGAAACATAATGTGTAACCTAGCACAAATAAGAATAAACACAGTATTATAAATCATTAATGATATTTGTAGTCTAACATAAATGTATCATTTTTATCAGCCTGTTTTTACTGTTTTCTTATGTAGTCTTAGGTAAAGTACTTCACATGATTAAACTGTTATACAATTCTAATTTCTCATTAACTTTCCATGTTTTATTGGGACATTATATTAAATTTCATTCAATGTACCTCACATTTATCGACATTCTAGCCAAAGGAAAAGGAAGTGGAGGAGTAAAAACAGCCAAGCTGTATGCCTGGGTAGCACTTCAGTCATTACCAGAAGAAATGGTTATTAGCCCTTGTCTATTAGACTTTCTGGAAAAGGCTCTGGAAACTATCCCAATTACACCAATTGAAAGGAATTATACAGGTACGTATTCTCCTCATATGCGTTCTAATTTTAAGTCTTGTTTTGTAGAATTTCTCAGTTTTATTACATATTGTTACATATTTCATTATAAAATAAATTACAAATTGGAATAGAACCAGAGAGGTTATCTCACTTTGCAAATGGAGAACCCAAGCTGTGGTGAAGCTTTATGATTTTTTATTCAAGGATACAGCTAGATAGTGACAACACTAATGATTATGGGTCTTATATTAATGTATTTCTTGCACTGGAGTCTTTTTGTAGGTCAGATATAGTTCTGTTTTCTGTGTATATTGTGTGATGTGGAAGAATTTAATTTTGGGAAATGAACTTGAAATTTGAGTAGGCAAGGATGTGTAAATAAACAGAATTCAAAACAATTTTCTAGTGTTGATATGTCTTATGTCAATACTTGTTAGAGATAGGGAACTTCCAATGGTTTGCCCTTGATATGATATAAAACTTGAAATTAAATATTTTAACAGCAGTCAGTTCACAAGATGAAGATATGGGACATTTTGAAATCCCAGATCCTATGGAAGAATCAACAACATCCCTAGTGTCATCTTCAACGTCTGCTTACTCTTCCTTCCCTGTAGATGTTGTGGTTTATGTTCGAGTTCAGGTGATGTATGTCATTTCTTCATAAAGAAAATACGTGGGGTTATTGTCTATGATATAATAAATCTTGCCTGGAGATCTTAATGCAAAGCTAGCCAAAGCCATAGAGGCCAGGCAGTGGTGGCACACACTTTAATCCCAAGACTCAGGAGAGAGAGGCAGATGGATCGCTGTGAGTTCAAGGCCACCTAGGGCTACATGATAGTGAATCAGTCTAAAAGAGAAAGAGAGCTCACGCCTTTAATTCCAGCACTAGAGAGGTATATAAGACAGGAGAGTCTCAGAGCTAGTATTTAGTCTTGGCAATTAGTCTTCAGGCATGTTGAGGTTAGGACCACCCCAGCCTTGGAGAGGTAAAAGCTTTCTGGTGGCTTGGATGCTTTGCTTTCTTTTCTGGTCTTTAGTTTGAACCCCAGTATCTGTCTCTGGGTTTTTAATATTCATGCTACAAAAATATTCTATTTGAAATTCACTATTATTTCCCTTCAAATTATCCAGAGTCACAGTTTCATGAATGTTTGATACGTCTACAATGGCTAGTTTGCTAAGTCCTGAGAAGTATATGTAAATCTGTGTATGTATATTTAATATTCTGAGCAGTTATTTTAGACTAGGAGTTTTCCATTTTTGAATTTCAATCTTCTGTGAAACAAAATTAAAATATGTAAGAATAAACCTTTTGAAAGCATTTCATCTCTTTATTAGTGTGGTACTCCTGGCTCTTACCATTCACTTCTTTCTAAATCTTCAAATATTTAGCTTGTTTTAAACAAGATCTTTACTCTGTAGCCCAGGATGGCATGTACTGTAGGTTGGCCTCCTTCCCCAGACCCCCTGAGAGTGGGGATTAGAATGAGCCTCTATGCCTTGAATGTTTAGCTTCATAAAGATTGTACCATTATGTTAATACATTTTGGTTTATATGCCATCCTTCTGTTTTTATAAGTTGAGGCGTTAAATGTAATTGCTTTTAAATGTCAGATGATTTTCTGTATGTTAAAATGGAAATTACATATAACTTTTAGAATGTCTCCAATATGAAAATTCCGACTTTCCAATATGAAAATTGTTTTAACCATGCAGTTCCTAGAAATCTTTTTTTCTCCTGCTTTTTACTCTTTAGCCTTCACAGATCAAATTTAGCTGTTTGCCTGTATCAAGAGTAGAATGCATGCTGAAGTTACCATCTCTGGACTTGGTGTTTTCTTCAAACCGAGGAGAACTAGACACTTTGGGAACCACATACCCTGCAGAGACCTTATCTCCTGGCGGTAATGCTCCTCAGAGTGGAACAAAGACCTCTGCCGGCAAAGCTGGAATACCAGGTATAGAAACATGAAGTTGCCTTATGCAAAGCCAAGTACTATTTTTTAAATAAATTTTAATATTTGTTCATCTCTATTTTAAATAGACTTAGGAAAGCAGAATATTAGAGAACTATGACATTTGTAGGAAAAATATCTGTAGTAGACAAAAGTTATAAGTACATTTCATACATTTAGTAGAATGAGTCCCCTTCAATATATATTTTTAGCTTAATAGTAATTAGCATTATAGTTTCAGTTTGAATGCTATTAGAAGCCCTATGATAAGAATACTAACAACCCGCATATCCATGTGCTTTTGAATGTTGTGTCATGTTGGATCTTACATTTTAGGAACAATGGGGTTTGCAAATGGAAAATAAGAGATGTTTTTATGAAGATGTGTTCTTATCATTTAACCAAGTAGCACTTGTATTTTTAAATGGTAAATTTTGCTGTCTGCCTCATTTGTTTCATGAAAGGTTTTATTTTAAAGTACAGTTGAGGATTTCTTGTTGAGTAAAACTTCTTCACTAAAAGCTCTTTGCCCATAATTCATATAGAATTGCAAATATAAACAATAGCAGTATTGGCTAGTTTGAGTGGGAACTGACAATAGGATTGAAATGTCATTAAAATAGTGATTCTTAACCAAGGGCAGCAGGTGCCTTCCAGTACTGGTATTTCACATCTGAGAGACTGTTAACTGGAAACTTGTGGGGAAGCCAGAAGTACTGTGCAAACAACCTGCCAATCTGAAAACTCTTTTTTTCTGAAAAGAATTATGTGGTCTAAAATGCTAAAAGGGCCAGGGTTGAACTTATTAAAGCAAAATATGCGAATGAAATTCTAAACTCCAGTTTTAAGGGAAACATGAAAGCTGTTGAAAGAAAAATCAGCCTTCAGATTGGAAGGAATCACTTAGGTCCTGTTTTGTGCAGTCATCTTGAACTTAAAATTTTACCCAAATAACCTCATTTGGCTTTTGAGAGCATGTTGGTGCATGTAGACTTCCTTGTGACTGATGGTGTTGAAATGTCTCCTATTTACAGGTTCTTCAGGATTAGGCAGCCCACTTGGCAGAAGTCGACACAGTAGCAGTCAGTCAGATCTTACTGGCTCCAGCAGCAGTTCTTCTGGCCTGAGCTTCACAGCATGCATGTCTGACTTTTCCCTATATGTGTTTCACCCCTATGGTGCAGGGAAGCAGAAGTCCACTGTTTCAGGTCTCACATCTGGATCAGGAGGACTAGGTATATGTGTTCGTTTGTGTCTTTTGTTACATTTTTCAAAGCTTTCTATACTTAGACCATGTTACCTTAAATAAGAGCTATAAGCCAATATCAAAAGCTTATATTTTCCCTTCTGATAAATTTTATCCCTATTTTATGAGTAAAAATATGAAACATTCAGGTAAACTGATTTTACAAGGATTTAAAATTTAAGAATGCTTATTAAGTGATATATATAGCATAATATCTAAAGATACAAGAGTTTATTTACATTACATATTTAAATGTTATCAAATTACTTTGCATAAAATTTTAGTGCATAAAAAGTAAAATTTTAAAGTATGTAGGTGATGCTTGGTAATTTTTTGTTTGTTTGTTTGTTCTGTTTTGTTTTTCGAGACAGGGTTTCTCTGTGGAGCCTATCCTGGCACTGGCTCTGGAGACCAGGCTGGCCTCGAACTCACAGAGATCTGCCTGCCTCTGCCTCCAACTTCTGGGATTAAAGGCGTGTGCCACCAACACCCGGTGATGCTTGGTAATTTTACATGAGATCATTAAGCCATCATTTAGTAAAATGAAATCTGCATTTAAAAATTCAGGCCTCATTAGTGAATATTTCTTCATTTATACAAGTAAAGCCTAGCTTTTCTTGTTGGAGTGAGCTTGTCAAAATTGCTACTCTTGTATACAGGCTTCAAACTACCTAAACTGTTGTGAAGAATGCAGATGCTCATTAGATTATTCTTTCTAAATTTCCCCTAATTTAGCTGCTTTTGATTGGTGACATGTTACAGTATACTGGATAATTTTCATTAACTACTTGTTTGCATACACCACCTTTTTGTGCATATGCATACATATGGACATTTTTCTTATTTTGGTTTTCTTCTTAGGGAATGTAGATGAAGAACCTACTTCAGTCACTGGTCGAAAAGACTCATTAAGTATAAACCTTGAGTTTGTAAAAGTGAGTTTGTCTCGAATAAGGCGCTCAGGAGGTACCTCATTTTTTGAAAGTCAATCTGTGAGCAAGTCTGCAAGCAAAATGGATACTACATTAATCAATATATCTGGTATTTTATTTTATAGTTTTTAATTAGAATATTATTGTAAAGAATTAAACAGTGCCTCTGACTTTAAGGTGGCTTTGAACTTAGATGATTGGGGGGTAAATAATCAACTTAGATAACTATAAAACAAACTAAAGTACGAATGACTATAATCCTATCAGTGGGTCAGCTGGCCACCAAATCTGGGAGTATGGGCTCAGACACTGTACCCTGGAAGTCATCGACAAGTCAATCTAAAGAAGCTGGAAGAGGAACAGAAGAGAAAAGAGACCGAAGGGGAATGGTGCCAGAACAGAACCCCTAAAGGTGGCCATAAGGGTGCTTTTCACCCTTATGAAAGTTTCTGCTCTGGACCAAAAGGGGAAATAAGTACTCCCTTCCACCCAGCTATTTGGTTTGCAGTTCTCTTTGTGCAAGTTCATATCCTAGCTCATACTGTTGATTTATTTTCCATATTTGAGAGGAGGCCTATGTTAAGCTAAAAGCTTGCCATATATCTAATTTCTAGAACATCTCTGATAACTGGCAGAACCCTAACTTGCCATCTTCCCAAGAAATGGACACAAAACTGATGGTCTTACAATGCACTGTTTCTGTAACTTGAAGAAAGATATAAAATCGTTCATTAGATACAATGTATCCTGGTATCTTATGGATTAGAATAGTAGGTATAATACCATATTTGATAACTACCATGTAAAGTGTTAAAAGTTCTGGAAGTCTGTTCTAAGCTCTAACAAACTTTATTTCTCCATCAGCTGTTTGTGATATAGGATCTGCTTCATTTAAGTATGATATGCGCCGACTCAGTGAAATCCTAGCATTTCCAAGAGCCTGGTATAGGAGAAGTATTGCAAGGCGCCTATTCCTTGGAGACCAAACTGTAAATTTGCCAAGTAAGCTTGTTATTGTACTTTAATTAGGGTTAAAGTAAACAAGATCCATAATTGATAGCACACATTTTGACTTACTTTGATACTGTGTAATTCATTCATTTGTTCTAAAGAATGTCTACTGAGTCCCTCTAATGGCAAGCACTGAGCATTCCAAACAAATAAATGCCTCACTCTCTTGAAGATTACCTCCTAAAAGACATCTTATTCTGTAATCCTTATAAATTTGGAAGTACAAATATGCATTTAACTATCCAAGTTAATCATAGTTACTTAAAACATGGAAAAATGAGAATATTGGAGACATACTACAGTTGAGCTGAAATAGTTGTGGAAGTGAAGAATACAGTTGACCTGGTACAGTAGAAAATGTAAAAAATCTCATGAGTGGGTCTATTTTCTCACCTGTAGTGGAACCACAATAATCTGTTTTCCCTTCTCATTCATTTTCTGCCATAATTAAATAAAATACTGGATTTTTCTTTGCAATAAATTGCAAAATGCAGAAGTGGAAGGAATATGCAATGTAGTTAGAAACGGTGTCTGAGTGAAAGGACTTTTATCACTTAATGTTCTTACCTGTGCCTTTTTTTATGGCTTCCTTCTTTATTCATTATTCTCTCATGTTCTTTCTGTGTTCTTTCTACTGTATACTGTATTTTTAACAGCTTGTATATTCCAACAAAATTTTTCAGGCAATATAGAAATTACAATGTGGTTATATTCTATTTTTTTCAAGTGAATGATTACAATGAGTACAAAACAAACAGTAAAAACAGCATGTTTTTTTGTGTCCCTTACATGATTAAAAATTCTACATACTATAGGTTAAAAAACAAATTATCCCAAGAACCCACATGCATTCATACCCAAGCAACTTATTATAGACTAACTGTGTGGGCAAGCAAATTACCTGTGACTTTTGTTTTGTTTTCTTTTCTACTGTTGTACCAGCATCTGGTCCAGGGACTCCTGATTCTATTGAAGGGGTGAGCCAGCACCTTTCTCCTGAGTCATCAAGAAAAGCATACTGCAGGACCTGGGATCAACCAAGTCAGTCAGCCTCTTTCACTCATATGCCTCAGTCACCCAATGTGTTCAATGAGCACATGACCAACAGTACCATGTCACCAGGGACAGCAGCACAGAGCCTCAAGTCCCCAGCCTCCATAAGATCAAGGAGTGTGTCAGACTCTTCAGTTCCTCGAAGAGGTAGCACTGCTCTTTTTGTTACAAGTAGCCCTCCAGTGTTCCTAAGACAAAAATCTTAATCACTCCCAGGTTTCTATCCCAGTTACTAGAGATGGATTCTTGAGGTTTTTGTAAGATAGAGGGAGAGGGAAAGAAACAAAAACACAAAAACAGTAAGTACCAAACACTTCAAAGTACTGCCTGCAGAATAGTTCTGTGGATGTCTATTTGCTTCATAAAGTGATAGGAAGTAAGGAGTTGCCATGTTGTCAGTGTAAAAGGACAGATGCTTTTAAAAACATCCCAATAATGTTGTGAATGTACCAAAAGATGGTTCCATACAAGGAAATGAATCTTTACAGTTGTTCATTTATTTAGTCAGTGTTTTTCCAACTCTTGCATGCTGGCATTGTCCTTGTGCTTGTGTCTGAATATATCAAAGTGAATGACATAGTTCTTTGCACAACCAAGAATAAAGTATAATGAGCAAAGTTAGTACTTGCTTTACACATTGAGTCCACTAGATAAATGCCAGGTATCCAGCCAATGTCTGCATTTCAGAATGGTCCCTGCCTTTGAGTCTTCTATTTGACTGAAACGCTTTTGAGTTTTTTCTTTTATAAAAAAAATCCTAAGTGATGAAATATCTTTGCAGCTATGTTCCACACACACCATAATTCCCCTCATCTCACCTGTTTTAGAAGCAATATGGCAACTATTAAACATTTGGTCTGGTACAAGAAGCTCATATTTACCTTTTGAATTTTGCTTTGTAATGAGTTTTGCTTTGTGTGAATAAGTGTACATTTGACTTTTTTTTTTTTTTTTTTTTTTTTTTAAAAAATTGTATTTTTTTCTTTTTTTTTTTTTTTTTTTTTTTTTTTTTTTTTGCCTTTAGACTCAATTTCCAAAACATCAACTCCTGTTAACAAATCAAACAAAGCAGCAAGCCAGCAAGGGACTCCGTGGGAGACACTTGTTGTTTTCGCTATCAACCTGAAACAACTAAATGTTCAAATGAATATGAGTAATGTCATGGGAAATACAACGTAAGCTATTTAGATACAAAGAAAATATATTTGATAAAAATGTTTAATTTTTCTTATAATATTATGAGGCAATTTTAGCTCTTTTAAATGTAGAAATCTTTGAGGCAGTGAATATAGTAGGTAAAATGTTATAAACGTTTTATTCTGAAAATGGCTTAATTGTAAGGACACCATAATACAAATAACATAAAACATTTTCCCAAAGGAAAATGATAAGAAAATAGGATAATTTTCTAGCTAGAAACCTTGATTAGTTTTAATATTCAAACATCTACCACATAGTTCTTAAGTTCTGTGTTGAACTGGCTATAGTGGATGTATACCATTCATTCAAACACTCAGAAGGCTTAGATAAGAGGATCAGTTGAGCTTCAGTATTCAAAACGAGCATTAACAACACACATGAAATCCTTTCTCATAAAAAGGAAGAAATATTTCACTGTCAAATTGGATCTTCTACTTAATAATCTGATTTAGGTACTATTTTTAATGCATGACAACTTATCTAACAACCTTTTCCTTCTTTTTTAGTTGGACAACTAGTGGTTTGAAAAGTCAAGGCCGCCTTTCTGTAGGAAGTAACCGTGATCGAGAGATTAGCATGTCTGTCGGTTTGGGAAGGTCACAGTTAGATTCCAAAGGAGGAGTAGTTGGTGGGACCATCGATGTCAATGCTTTGGAGATGGTTGGTATGTTGAAATTTTACACTAACATATCCTCAAACATTATATTGGGAACAAAAAGGTTTAAAAAGTTAAATTTGGTAAGTTTTCTATTGAATATTTCTATGAAAAGTAATTATTGTTTTTATTTAGCTCATATTTCTGAACATCCAAATCAGCAACCCAGCCACAAAATACAGATCACCATGGGTTCTACTGAATCTCGGGTTGATTACATGGGCTCAAGTATCCTCATGGGTATCTTCAGCAATGCTGATCTTAAGCTTCAGGATGAATGGAAAGTAAATCTATATAACACCCTGGATTCAAGCATGACTGATAAAAGGTATTTATCAGGATGCCCCCTTCTGAAAACTTTATGTGACTACTAGCCCTTAACATTTTCTTAACATTCAGGGATGGGAGGAGTAGTTCATTTTTTTCTACCGATTGATTTTATATGGTACAACTAATACAAATGAAAAGACTGGGCAGGGAGGATGATTATTCTTGTGTTATTTATATCTTCTGTGAAATTTATGATACAAATTGTGTTTCATTCCTTAGTGAGATTTTTGTGCATGGAGATTTGAAGTGGGATATTTTCCAAGTAATGATATCAAGATCAACCACACCAGACCTGATAAAAATAGGAATGAAGCTCCAGGAATTTTTCACACAACAGTTTGATACCAGCAAACGAGCTCTATCAACCTGGGGACCTGTTCCTTATCTTCCACCCAAGACAATGACTAACAACCTAGAGAAAAATTCACAAGAACAATGTAAGAATTGCAATTCAACATTGATCTATTCCTCATCTTCCTCATATGTATATTCTTAAGTAACACATTCATATGCCATACTTAGAAAGTATCTGTGGATTCTCCATCACATCCCCTCAGCACTGACTATGCTCCTGATAATCACATCAGCTGCCCTTTAGGAAGGTATTTCTGTTTCTCCTCCACCACAGCTCACCTGTAGCATACCTGCTATGTGACAGTATTATATTCTGATTTGAGGCATTGGCTGAGGAGTGAGAATAACTGAATCTGTTAACTTTGATTTTAGACAGGTTATTATCTTTCACTCAGAAATTAGCTTGTATTTATTAGAACAACAACTATATGCTTTGGTACTTCTCTAGACACAAGAGTTGCAAGTTAATGACTATCCCTACCTCATGAACCTCACATTCAAATAGGAGAGGGAGACTGTAATTAAATGCATAAATGACATGATTTTAGGTAGATAGAAGTTATTGTTTAAAAACAAAGCAAGGGGAGGATATAAAAAAGGCTAAGGTGAGAAAATGGATATTTCAGAAAAGATGATTGGGAAGCCTTTTCTGAAATGACATGTTAATAGAAATGAGTCAATAGTTGAAAGAACTGAGATAAGATATGAGGGAAAGTTCTGGGCAGAGGGCCATGGAGGTGTGAAGCTCCTGTTGTTCCTCACAAAGTTGGATTACTTGAGAATCATTGCTGGACCTAATGGCACAGTTCTCTAATCACAACTACTTGGGAAACTGAGGCAGGAGGATCATAAGTTCAAGGCCAGCTTGAACTATTAGTATGAGACCCATCTCAAAATGAAATAGTCACAATGGTCTGGGGATATAATATTTCTCTAGGCCTTTATATTCCTTATAAACAGTATTGCTAGCAAGCATTTGTAAATTGCAGTGCTGTACAAAGTATATGGTTTACTTTCTTTTGAAAAGTCCTTGTCAAGAGAAGCAGATACCAGATTTAGAGTATTGTTTAAAAAAAAAAAAAAAAAGCCAGTTAAACACAAAGCATGATCCTTGGTAGCACCTAGATAAGAATGATAAACACCCAAAAAGGACATTACTGGAATGAGTGGGATGAAAAAAATCTGAATTCTGTGATCAATTAATATTTCTCAAACAATATGCATCTGTAACACCTGGAAATCCATATTTTGACAGTGCTAAGGAATAAACTCAGGCCTTGCATATGCCAAGCAAATTCTTTCAAAAAGCAAATCTGAGCCAGGCAGCAGTGGCACATACCATTAGTCTCAGCAGTCGGGAGGCAGAGGCAGGGGATCTCTGTGAGTTCGGGGCCACCCTTGTCTACAGAGCAAGGTCCAGGATAGGCTCCAAAGCTACATGGAGAAATCTTTTCTCAAAAAAGCAAAAAATAAAAATAAATAGATAGATAGATAGATAGATAGATAGATAGATAGATAGATAGATAGATAGATAGATAGATAGATAATCTGATACAGTAGATGGTGAGACTTAAGAATACAGAGTTCTAATGCACTCCCAGGATGCTGATAGTGCTGGTCCTCTGGCCTCACTTTAATGGAAAGCTCATAGGAGAGAAAAACATAAAACCTCTCATTCCTATTTTTTACCTATGAAGAGTTGTTAGACCTGATTGACAATCTTTAATCATTGTTGTATAGAAATTGTATAAAATACCATTCAAGCTCTTTGTAAGTCAGTCAGCATTGCAGATGTTGTACAAGTTGTGAGAGTTGTAAACAATAGAAAGTTCATACCTTCCCAAGCTCTGTCCATCCTTACACAACAACCTTTCACACTGTATATTTAACAGTTGCCTAACATCTCCCATTATTTCCACTTATTTTCTGAGTCACTTTTAGCTGTAGAATGTACCCACCTCTGCCTTTTGCCATGCTTAGGATACTTGAGACGACTTATGACAAATGTTTCTTGGTTCTCTTGTAGTGCTTGATGCTGCACACCATCGACATTGGCCTGGGGTGTTGAAAGTGGTATCTGGATGCCATATATCCTTATTTCAGATTCCATTACCAGAAGATGGCATGCAATTTGGAGGATCCATGAGCTTACATGGAAATCACATGACCTTGGCTTGTTTTCATGGTCCAAATTTCCGTTCAAAATCCTGGGCCCTTTTCCATTTAGAAGAACCAAATATCGCCTTTTGGACTGAAGCTCAGAAAATCTGGGAAGATGGTAAACTGACACATTTCCAACTTTTATTCTTTTCTATCTTCTGACCTGATCATAAATGACTTATGTACTTTTTCATTCTTAGATCTTTTTTGAATGTGTGTTAATTTTTGAGGGTGTGTGAGGGGGTAATGTGTGTTTTTATATGATGTGTATGAGTGAAGACAGCCTCATGCCACAGTGTGCTTGTGGAGGTAAGAGGACAATGAGGGATAACAGTCCTCACCCTCCACCCTGCTTGAGGCTAGGCTACCTGACTCATACTTCCAAGGAGCCCTTGATATAAAAGACACACTTTAATATATCCAGCTTTACACTAGTTCTGGGGGTTCAAGCTCAGGATCTCATTAATAATATTTACCCAGCAAATGCTTTTCACACTAAGCCATCTCACTGACCTCCTATGTGCCTTTGTTTACAATTATTTATTTTGAGAAGGACACATTTGTGCTGTAGCACAGTTGTGGAAGTCAGAGAACAACTTGAAGAGCTGGGTCTTAGGAGTTAAATTTAGGTTGTCAGGCTTGGTAGCAAGTACTTTTACCCCTGAACCATCTCCTGAGCCATTTTGAGTGTTTTTATTAGAGAAATTATCTCCATTTATTATGCTGTAACTAACAGACCAGGGGGTGAATTCATTGCCAGTGAATCAGCATCTGTAAAGTCTGGACATGTTAAAGAATATCTAAACACACTTCTCAACTTGCTGTCTATTACTTAAATTTAGTTACTCCCTGTTACTTAAATTTAGCGCTGCTGTGACTGGCCACAGCATGATATGTAGAAATAATCCTTGTAAAAACATGAAGACAGTGGCAGTATGAGACTGTCAGACAAGACTGCATTATAAAACCTGAGGGAAGTGATAGAACCCTGGAAAGCCACACATCTAGAAATATGTGGGCAGCACAAGTTTGTCTTGATGGTTTTTTTAAGAAGGGCACCAAATATTTAAAAAGAATGGCTCCTTTGAACAGTTTCCTATTCAGTGTTTCCTTTTGTTTGGCTTCTTGAGGATGTCTTACTCTTTAGCCTAGGTTGTCCTATACTTCATAATCCTCCTGTCTTTGCTTCCTGAGTGCTGGTGTTGCAGGTGTGCACCACTTCCTGACCCGCTCAGTGGTTTCTTAACAAATGCTTCATGTTCTTTATCTTACCAGGATAAATCTAGTTAACTAAAATGAACATTTGTGGGCTTTCTCATTTAGCCTTCTTACCCTATCTGTGTATAGCTTAGCTAAATCTATTACTCTGAAGCCACAGTTATTTTTGTAGATATAAATACAGTTTATCACTTTTAGAAACATATTTTTCTTGTACTCTAGGCTCTAGTGATCATTCTACATATATTGTTCAAACACTGGATTTTCATCTGGGTCATAATACCATGGTTACCAAACCATGTGGTGCTCTGGAAAGTCCCATGGCAACAATAACCAAGATAACAAGGCGTCGCCACGAAAATCCACCTCATGGAGTAGCAAGTGTAAAAGAATGGTTCAACTATGTCACTGCCACAAGGAATGAAGGTTATATTTAGCTTTTGTTGGGCTTATTTTGTTTGTTTTTCTATTTTGAGCTCTGTCAGCTGTTTAGAATATAAGTAGAGGTCAAGTTTTCATGTTTTAATACAATTTTTATTTTATTTCAATTGTTATATAAAATGATTGTTGAATATAAGAATCAACAATTCGGTGGTACATCATTTTATAGGCTTAAATTAAATATAACTGGAACCATCCTAAATAAATTAAATAAAATTAAATTTGTTATACTTCATAACATTTGGGAAATATTTTACAAGTTATTGGGAAAAAATGTTTTATAGTTATTCTAAGTATTGGAATCTGGGAAATTTATTATATGGTTGACTAACAGAATGCCAAAAAATGTAAGATTCCACTTACCTGAAGTAAAATTTCAGTAATATTATTCCTATCAACCTATCAAGTCATAATTATTATTATTATTATTATTTTTTTTTTTTTTTGTTATTTGAGACAGGGTTTCTCTGTGTAGCTTTGGAGCCCCTCCTGGCACTCACTCTGTAGACCAGGCTGGCCTCAAACTCATGGATATTCAAGCCATAATTTTTTAAAGAGGAGTGCTTTGGATGAATTATTCATCTATTAGACTAGTTCTGTGGTAGTTTGCCAGGTTGTTCTTTTGTGATTTCTGTAGGTTTGCATGTGCAACATGACTTTTATTAATCATCTGTTATTTTGGAAGTTGACTACATTAAGGAATGTGAAGATTTGAATGTTTTACTTAAAAATGATATTCTTTCTAAATGAAAAAGATTACTTGTTCCATGTGATTTTGAGTAGCTTTCAGGAAGTAGGCAGACACTTTAGATGGATAAAAATATGTTAAGAATAAAAAAGGGCTTGGCAGTGGTGGCACATGCGTTTAGTTCCAGCACTTGGGAGGCAAGAGGCAGGTGGATCTCTGAGTTTGAGGACAGCCTGCTCGACAGAGCAAGTTCCAGGATAACCAGGTTTACAAAAAAACCTTTCTCATAAAGCAAAACAAAGAATAAAAGAGGGTGAGAGAAAATTACAAGTCTATGTCCTGTTTTGTTGTTGTTGAAAAGATTCTGTCTTTAACTAGAATGTTCTAGGGAGCTGTTTGTGAATCTACATCAATAATCTTCACACCTATAGTGTAGTCATATGTTCTGAAAAATAATTTCAGGGTCAGGATAATATTTAGTGTTCAATTTATGTAGACCATTGGGTTTAATAAAATCCAACTTCAGACATGATTAAAATTGATAATAATTCACATTAAAACTGGAGGAACCAAAACTAGTAGGTATTGGGTTTATCCGAATTTCACATTACAAAATTGTGGTTCTAACAGCAATAATGTATACATGCACACTTCTTCTTAAGAATATGATTATTTCTAACTTGTAAAGTGATGAGTTTAATATATTATAGTGTCTTTAAAGCCACACTTTGTACAGCTTAGCTAAACCTATTACTCCCAGGCCACATTTATTTATGTGGATCTAAATACAGATTATCAATTTTAGAAACATGTTTTGTTTTGTTTTTGCTTTTTGTCAATAATAGGCTCTAGGGATCATTCCATATTGTTTAAATGCAGTATGATGACAGTGCCCTTTGGTTTAACTTAACCCTTACTGTTTTATGTGTGTAGAACTAAACTTACTTCGTAATGTTGATGCTAATAACATGGAGAACAGTACTACTGTGAAGAATTCTAGTTTGTTGAGTGGATTCAGGGGAGGTTCTAGCTACAACCATGAAACAGAGACTATCTTTGCATTACCAAGAATGCAGCTTGAATTTAAATCAATTCATGTTCAAGAACCACAGGAGCCTTCTTTACAAGGTATGTGGAAATAGACTCTCTAGTCTTAACAGTACTAAGAAAACTCTGAAGAAACTTTGGACTGTAAATGGAGTTCCTAATTGGTCTAAATAATAAAAACCCAGAGACAGATATAGAGGAAAATGCTGATAGATCAGAGAGAAGGAGAAAGCCAAAGCCACCTTTACCTCATTAGCTTCCCAGTGGAAATAGAGAGCAAGTTCCTGTTTCTTCCCACTAATATCCTGTCTTCATCCAGCATCTAACTTCCTCTTTCCACCCAGTCATCTCACTTCCTGTCTGTCTGTACAGACCTCCAGACCTCTATGGTTAGCTAGTGGCAAGCTCCATCCTATGATCTTCATACAAGCTTTATTTGTACAAGCAAGATATCACTACTGCTCTCTTACCACAGGTTATTTTGGTATATTAATTTAATAAATCTGTTGATATAAGGCAAATTGATATTCTTAGCAGATATTCATGGCCTCTGGTAAATTATTTAGCCTATTTGTGCCTTTTCTCCCAAGTATTGGGAATTATAATTGGACTTTATTATAAGGAACAATGACACATTGTAGGAATTTTTCATAGGTTATCATTATTCTGTAAATCATGTGCATATAGCAGTTGCTCATTTCTTTACAGTTAACATTTCAAGTGGATGCATTTACATGGATCTGTGTACATCTTTAATGGGAGGAGCCTTGTTTCATACTGTAAAAGAACTTTATCATTACAGATGCCAACTTGAAACCCAAGGTGGAATGCAGTGTGGTGACAGAATTTACTGACCACATTTGTGTGACTATGGATGCTGAGCTCATCATGTTTCTCCATGATCTAGTGTCAGCATATCTGAAGGAAAAAGAAAAGGGTGTGTTTTATATTTTTATTTTCTTCTTTTCAAGTTACAGGAAAGACAGGTGTCAATGGATTAGCATGGAGAATGTTTTTGAGTTCTGTGATAGAATGAATGGAACATGTCTTTTTCCATGTGGGCTGCAAATGTCAAAAAAATAATAATTACTAATGCTGTGTGACAGATTTCCTGAGTATCAGCTAGATACATTGCATTCTTTTTAATTTTTTTTACATTTATTTATTTTGGTTTTATGGGGGATGGGGTGTATCATGGCACACATACAGAGATCAGAGGACAGTTTACCTGAGTCAGTTTTCCTTCCACTGTGGTGTTTGTGAAAATCAAATTCAGGTCATAAGCCTTGGTGGCAAGCACCTTTACCTGCTGAGACATCTGACTGGCCTACCATGGCACTCATAAAGTGTTTCTTACTTATATTTATAAGGAGTTTTGGGGGAGTGTTTGTTTTGTTTTGTTTTGTTTTGTTTTAAATAAGGACTGAAAAGATGGTTCAGTGGTTAAGAGCACTTGCTTCTCTTCTAGAAGGCCTGAGTTTGGATTCTAGCACCCATGTCACGGTGCACACAACAGCATATAGCCCGTGCCAGTACACACACACACACACACACACACACACACACACACACCATACATACATACATACATACATACATACATACATACATATTTTTAGAAGTTTCTAAAAATATAAAAGTCTGTAGTTAAGCATTATAGATGATCATTGAAGAAACAGCTACCTAATAAAATTGCATTATTTTATGCATAGTATACAGTTGGAGAAAGTAAATTTTGTAAGGAAATAAATCTGTGCAGAGAACATTTTAGTTTTATAAATAAATTACTTAGACTTTAGTGGCCCTGTTTTGATTTCATTAGCAAGATAACATTGGTTTCCTTACTGGCACATTAATGTTGACTCATTAAGAAACATACAATGACTCTAATAACCTATATGGAATTGGTTCAATGTATTGTAGTCCTCCATCACTATTGATGAAGTAAGGGTATTTGAAATGGTAAGAAATGTCCTCCCTAAACTGGTCATTTGTTCCATTCAGTATTTATTGCAAAACTGTTGTGTATTTTTGAAATATGAAGTTATGGTGGGTTATATCAGATGTGTTTATTTTTCTCAGTGCTGGGATTCAGGGCCTCATGCATGGAAGGCAGACACTTAACCAATGATATACACACCCCACTTTTTACCTTTCGTTTTTGCCGACATTGGTGTTGAGGTAGGCTATCCCCAAGTTGCTCAAGCTGACCCTGAACTCACTCTGCATCCAAGGCAGGCCTTGGAACTTTTGATCCCCCTGCCTCACAGGACTACACTGCCTGGCCCAGTTACTTTTTTATAAATTTTATTTAAATTAGAAACAATCTTATTTTACATATCAATCACAGTTCCCTCTATCTCCCATCGTCCCATGCTCTCCTTTGACCCCTCCATCCCATCTCCCATCCACTCCCCAGAGAGGTTGAGGCTTCCATGAAAGGTCATTAAAATCTGTCTAGTCATTGGGCCCATGGGAAATGGGCTTCCGAAATCCATTGATGCACTAAGGATACATCCTGGTTCCACGGCCAGAGGCCCCATAGACTGCTCAGTGCTCCTAGCTGACACCCATGTTTCAGGGGGCCTGATTTGGTCCTATGTTGGTCCCCAGCTGTCAGACTTGGGTCCATGAGTTCCCACTTGCTCAGGTCAGCTGTTTCTGTGGGTTTTCCCAGCATGGTCTTGCCACCTCCCCCCACCTCTGAAACTGGATGCCAGGAGTTTGGCTCAGTGCTTAGCTGTGGATCTCTGCTTCTGCTCCCATCAGCTACTGGATAAAGGCTCTAGGATGACATTTAAGGTAGTCATCATTCTCATTATAGGGGAAGGGCATTTAAGGTAGCCTCTCCACTACTGCTTAGATTCCTAGTTGGGGTCATCTTTGTGGATCTCTGTACAATTCCCTAGTGCCAGATTTCTCTTTAAATCTATAGTGGCTCCCTCTATTGATGTGTCTCTTTTCTTGCTCACCTCTATTCATCTCCCCATTCAATCTTCCTGATCCCCCATGATCTCCTCCCCACTCCTCTTCTCCCCTCCTCTTTCTCCTTCTTCACTCTTCCCTTCACCTATGCTCCCAATTTGTTCAGGGGCCCTTGTCCCTTTCTGCTTCACTGAGGGACCATGTATGTCTTTCTTATGTCCTCCTTGTTTCCTAGCTTCTTTGGTGGTATGGATTGTACGCTGGTAATCCTTTGCTCTATATCTAATATCCATATATGAGTGAGTGCATAACATATTTGTCTTTCTGTGACTGGTTTACCACACTTAGGATGGTTTCTTCTAGTTCCATCCATTTGCCTGTAAATTTCAAGATTCCACTGTTTTGTTTTTGTTTTTTTGTTTTTGTTTTTGTTTTTCTGCTGACTAGTTCTCCATTGTGTAAATGTACCACATTTTCTGTATCCATTCCTCGGTTGAGGGGCATCTAGGTTGCTTCCAGGTTCTGGCTATTACAAACAATGCTGCTGTGAACATAGTTGAACATATGTCCTTGTTGGATGAATGTGCATCCTTTGTGGATATGCCTAAGACTGGAATGGCTGAATCTTGAGGTAGACTGGTTCCCATTTTCCAGAGAAACCGCCATACTGACTTCCAAAGTGGCTGTGCGAGTTTGCACTCCTACCAGCAATGGAGAAGCATTCCCCTTTCTCCACATCCTCTCCAGCATAAACTGTCTTTGGTGTTTTTCATTTTAGCCATTCGGGTAGATGTAAGATGGTATCTCAGAGTTGTTTTGATTTGCTTTTCCCTGAAGGCTAAGAATGTTGAACAATTTCTTAAGTGTCTTTCAGCCATTTTAGATTCCTCTGTTGAGAATTCTCTGTTTACTTCCTGTATCCCACATTTTAATTGAATTATTTGGTGTTTTGGTGACTAGCTTCTTGAGTTCTTTGTATATTTTGGAAACCAGCCCTCTGTCAGATGCAGGGTTGGTAAAAATCTTTTCCCATTCTGTGGGCTGCCATTTTGTCTTGTTGACTGTGTATTTTGCCTTACAGAAGCTTCTCAGTTTCAGGAGGTGCCATTTAGTAATTGTCAATCTCAGTGTCTGTGCTACTGGCCTTATGTTCAGGAAGTGGTCTCCTGTGCCAATTTGTTCAAGGGTACCTCCCACTTTCTCTTCTAAGAGGTTCAGTGTGGCTGGATTTATGTTGAGGTCTTTGATCCATTTGGACTGAAGTTTTGTACATTTCGATAGATACAGATCTATCTGCAATCTTCTACAACCCAGTATCCAGTTATGCCAGCACCATTTGCTGAAGATGCTTTCTTTTTTCCCATTGTATAGTTTTTTTAACTTCTTTGTCAAAAATCAGATGTTCGTAGATGTGTGGGTTAATATCAGGGTTTTAAGCTCGATTCCATTGGTCTACCTTTGTATTTTTGTGCCAATACCATGCTGTTTTTCAGGACAATAGCTCTATAATAGATCTGGAAGTCAGGGATGGTGATGCCTCCATAAGTTCCTTTATAGTATTTTGAATCCTGCTAAGAGCGATGGAATGGAAAAGTTCATTTGGCTAGTATTGAGCAAGTTTGCTGAAACTTGCTGAGCCTAGAGTGGGCCTGATTCTTTTTTCCACAGGTAAGTCTTCCTTTTAAAGGACAAGTAAAGAGAAAGGGGGATTAATTATAAGCATCCCTTACTTTCCTGAATATTGGGCAATGTATGTAAACTGAGGACATGACAACTCCAAGGTATGGTTGAGGTGATTTTTTTTTTTTTTTTTTAGTTAATCTTGTATCCTGACACTTTACTAAAGTTGTTTATCAGCTGTAGGAGTTCCCTGGTAGAATTCTTCAGGTCACTTATGTAGACTATCATATCATCTGCAAATAGTGGAAGTTTGACTTCTTCCTTTCCAATTTGTGTCTCCTTGATCCCCCTTTGTTGTCTTATTGCTCTAGCAAGAACTTCAAGTACAATATTGAAAAGATATAGAGAGAGGGGACAACCTTGTCATGTCCCCGATTTTAGAGGAATTGCATTGAGTTTCTGTCCATTTAGTTTGATGTTGGCTGTCGGTTTGCTATATGTTGCCTTTCTTATGTTTAGGGATGTTCTTGTTATCTCTGATCTCTCCAAGACCTTTATCATTTAGGGGTGTTGAACTTTGCCAAAGGCTTTTTCAGCATCTAGTGAGATGATCATGTAGCTTTTCTTTTTCCATGTGTTTATTTGGTGGATTACATTGATGGATTTTTATATGTTGAACCATACCTGCATCTCTGGGTTGAAGCCTACTTGATCATGGTGGATGATTTTTCTGATGTGTTCTTGGATTAGATTTGCCAGTATATTATTGAGTATTTTTGCATCAATGTTCATGATGGATATTGGTCTGTGGTTCTCTATCTTAGTTGTGTGTGTGTGTTTGGTTTGGGTATCAAGGTAAGTGGAGTCTCATAAAACGAGTTTGGCAGTGATCCTTCTGCTTCTATTGTGTGAAACAATTTGAGGATTATTGGTATTAGCTCTTCTTTGAATTTCTGGTGGAATTCTTCACTGAAGCCATCTGGTCCTGGGCTTTTTTTGGTTGGGAGACATTTGATGGCTGCTTTTATTTCATTGGGGGTTATAGGTCTATTTAAATTGCTTATCTGTCTTGATTTAGTTTTGGTAAGTGATATCTATCCAGAAAATTGTCCTTTTCCTTTATATTTTCGAATTTTTTGGAGTACAGGTTTTCAAAGTATGACCTGATGATTCTCTGGATTTCCCCAGTCAGTTGTTATGTCCCCCATTTTCATTTCTGATTTTGTTAATTTGCATTTTCTCTCTCTGTCTTTAGGTTAGGTTGGATAAAGGTTTGTCTATCTTGTTGATCTTCTCTTTTTGTTCTAGAGCTTTCAGTTGTGCTGTTAATTCTCTAGGTTGGCTATTCTCCAGTTTCTTCATGTGGGCACTTAGTGCTATGAACTTTCCTGTTAGCACTGCTTTCAGAGTATCCCATAAGTTTGTATATGTTGTGCCTTCATTTTCATTGAATTCTAGGAACTCTCTAATTTTTTTTTATTTCTTCCTTGATCCAGGAATGATACAGTTGAGCATTGTTCAATTTTCATGAGTTTGTAGGGTTTCTGCAATTTATGTTGCTGCTGAATTCTAATTTTAAGCCATGGTGGTCAATAAGGTAAAGGGGATTATTCCAATTTTTTGTGTATGTTGAGGTTTGCTTTATTGCCAATTATGTGGTTGGTTTTAGAGAAGGTTCCATGTAGCACTGAGAAGAAGGTATATTCTTTTGTGTTTGGATGGGATGTTCTATAAATCCAAACTGGATTTATTGTTCTGTTAATCCCAATTGGGTCATAACTTCTGTTAGTTCCTTTGTTTCTTTGTTAACTTTCTGTCTGGTAGTCCTGTCCAGTAGTGAGAGTAGGGTGTTGAAGTCTCCCACTATAAGTGTGTGGGGTTTAATGTATGACTGAGGTTTAGTAATGTTTCTTTTATGAATGTGGGTGCCTTTGTATCTGGTGCATAGATGTTTAGAATTGAGACTTCATCTTGATGGATTTTTCCTATGATGAATATGAAATGACCTTCTTCATCTCTTTTGATTAATTTTACTTTGAAGTCTAATTTGTTAGCTATTAGTATAGCTACACCAGCTTGCTTCTTATGGCTATTTGATTGGAAAATCTTTTCCCAGCCCTTAACTCTGAGGTAACATATGTCTTTGAAGTTGAGGTGTGTTTCTTGCATGCAGCAGAAGGATGGATTCTGTCTTTGGATCCATTCTGTTAGCCTGTATCTTTTTATAGGTGAGTTAAGACCATTGATATTGAGGGATATTAATGACTATTGATTGTTGATTATTGTTTGTTTTAGATTTGGTGGTGGTGGTGGTATTGTGTGTGAATTTTTCCCCTTTTTTCTGGTGTTTGGTAAAGTGGAATTATCTATTGCCTATGTTTTTGTGAGTGCAGTTAACTTCATTGGGTTGGAGCTTTTCTTCCACAACTTTCTATAGGGATGGATTTGTGGATATGTATTGTGTAAATTTGGTTTTGTCATGGAATATCTTCTTTTCTCTATCTATAGTGATTGAGAGTTTTGCTGGGTATAGTAGTCTGGGCTGCCATCTGTGGTCTCTTAGTGTCTCTAGAACATCTATCCAGGACCTTGTGACTTTCAGAGTTTCCATGGAGAGGCCAGGTGTAAATCTGATAGGTCTGCCTTTGTTGGCCTTTTTCATTTGTTATGCTGTATGTTTGGTGTTTTGATTATTATGAGGCCAGGGGACTTTTTTGGTTTAGTCTATTTGGTGTTTGGTAAGCTTCTTGTACTTTCATAGGTATGTCCTTCTTCAGGTTGGGAAAGTTTTTCTTCTATGATTTTGTTGAATATGTTTTCTGTACTTTTTAACTGGGTTTTTTCCGCCTTCCTCTATACCTATTATTCTTAGGTTTGGTCTTTTCATGGTGTCCCATATTTCCTGGATATTTTGTGTTAAGGATTTGTTGGATTTAGGATTTTTCTTTTGTCAAAGAATCTGTTTCCTCTAGTTTATCTTCAGTGCCTGAGATTCTCTCTTCCATCTCTTATATTCTGTTGGTTATGCTGGCATCTGTAGTTCCTGATCGTTTACCCAGCTTTTCTATTTCCAGCATTCCCTCATTTTGTGTTTTCTTTATTGTTTCTATTTCAATTTTCAAGTCTTGAACTGTTTCCTTCATCTGTTTGATTGTTTTTTATTGGCTTTCCTTGCTTTCTTTATAAGATTTGTTAATTTCTTGCATTTTTTTGGTTTGTTTTTTTCTTCCATTTCTTTAAGGGATTTTTTTCATTATCCTCTTTGAGGACCTCTATCATTTTCATGAAGTTTTTTTTTCAGTCATTCTCTTCAGATTC